ATCATTTGTAAATATCTTCTCCCACTCAGTAGGTTGTCTTTTCATTTTATTGATGGTTTCCCTTATGATACAAGAGATTTTTATTTTGATGGAGTCCCAATAGTTTATTTTTGCTCTGATTTCCCTTGCCTGAGGAGATAGATTAGAAAAATCTAAAAGATAGATAGATGTTAAAGAAATTACCGGCTATATTTTCTTCTAAGAGTTTTATGGTTTCAGGTCTCACATTTAGGTATTTAATCCATTTTGAGATTATCTCTGATTTATAGTGTAAGAAAGTGGTCCAATTTCATTCTTTTGCATGTAGCTGTCCAGTTTTCCCAACACTATTTGTTGAAGGGACTGTTTTTTCTTCATTGTATGTTCTTGCCTCCTTTATCATAGGTTAATTGACTATATAAGTGTGAGTTTATTTCTCTGCTCTCTATTCTGCTCCCTTGATCTATGTGTCTGTTTGTGTCAGTACCATAGTGTTTTGATTTGTAGTATATCTTAAAATCTGGGATTCTGATACCTCCAGCTTTGTTCTTCTTTTTCAAGATTGCTTTGGCTCTTTGGGGTCTTTTGTGATTCCATACAAATATTAGTATTATTCTAATTCTGTGAAAAATGCTATTGATATTTTGATAGGAATTGCATTGAATCTGTAAATTGTTTTCAGTAGTACAGACATTTTAACAATATTAATTCTTCCAATCCATGAGCATGGAATATCTTTGCATTTGTTTGGGTCACCGTAAATATTTTTTATCAGTGTTTTATAGTTCTTGTGGTACAAGTCTTTCACACCTCCTTGGTTAAGTTTATTCCCAGGTATTTTATTCTTTTGGGTTCAATTTTAAACAGAATTGTTTTCTTAATTTCTCTTTTTGCTATTTCATTATTAGTGTGTAAAGGTACAATTCTGTATCCTGGTAGTTACTATCCCTGTACTACTATCCTAGCAGCTTTTGGGGGGAGTCTTTAGGGTTTCCTATGCACAGTATCATTGAATGGTGTCTTTTGCGTAGCAAAATTGCCAATTTTGAAAAGCTCCAATTTACCTTCATGTTTTTCTTTTTGGATCATGCTTTGGGTTTCAAATCTAAAAATTACTTGTCTACCTCAAGGTCATAAAAATTTTCTCCTATGTTCTCTTCTAAAAGTGGTATAGGTATTAGATTTTACATTTAGGTGTATGGCCCATTTTGAGTTAATTTTTACACATAAAGTGCGAGATATGGGTTGAGGTTAAATTTTGTTTGCATATGGATGTCCAATTGGCCCAACACTATTTGTTGAAAAGACTATCTTTTGTCCATTAAATCGAACCTTGGTCAAAAATCAGTTGACCATATTTGTATGGATCTTCATCTCAACTCTATATTCAATTGCTATATATATAATTTTACCAATATTACACTGTTTTGATTATTGTAACTTTATAAAAAAAAACCTTGAAATCAGATAGTGTGTGTTCTCTAACTTTATTCTTCTTTTTCAAAGATGTTTTGAATTCAGTTTTAATTAAGGTAAGGGAGTGACATCATCATGATGGCAACATAGGACGCTCGCTGACTTCAGTCCCCTTCATAAGAGTAAAGTTGGAGGCATCACTCTTCCTGATTTCAAACTATATTATAAATCTATAGTAGCGATCAAAATAGCATGGTGTTGGCATACAAACAGACACATAGTAACTATCCAGAGGCAGAACACCATTATGAAAATCCCAGAACCCTTGGATGTAAGGCTGAAACACCTCTGTGGATAGCACAGATTGAGGAGCAGCTACACTTTGACCAGGTTGCCCCTCCCCCAGGCTGGACCAATGCAGCACCACATAGCCCCCATGGGCCTACAGTTTCTCCAGTGGGAAAATGAGAACCCAAGCCTTGAGGTACACTTCACCTCAAAAGGATCCATGACCCTGGGGATCAGATAGAGACTGGAATGGGGGTGGGGCTTACAGCCCAGATCCCCAGCCAGCAGCATTGCCCATCTGCTGAGCAGAACCAGTGCCCCATCTGACCAGGGACCTCAGTTGGTGGATTTCCCTGATTTGGATACCCAGCCAGTGGGAAATACCAGCTGTAGAGCCTATCCTAACGTCGTGACTGGGCAGGGGAGCAAATATGTACCTTGTCCAACTACTGAGCATAATTTCTGCTGTTACCCCTCCAGGAAACATGGCGACAGACATCCAGGAGCTGTAGAGCACATCAGGTGCCCACTCAGGTGGGCAGTCAAGCCAGCAGCCTGGTCCAGCTGTTGAGCATAACCTCTGGTCCTCATAACCAGGGAGACTGAACAGTGACCCTAAGTAGCCATGGAGCACAGCCTATGGTACCACCCAGCCATGGAGTCAGGACTACAACCCTACCAAGCAGTGGCGTCCAGCATACAACCTTGTCTGATTGCTGAACACAGCCTGTGGCTTTCCCCTAGGCAGGGAGTCCATCTAGAGAACCCTGCCCAACCAGAGAGCCCAGCCAGCAACTTCACCCAATAGTTTAGTACAGCCAAAGGTCTACACAATCACAAAGCCCACTCAATTTGGGGACACAGTCTGTGACCCTGTTCTGCCATTTGCAACAACTTGGATAAATATTGAGGGTATTATGCTATGTGAAATAAGCCAGAAAGAGAAACCCAAATATTATGTAATCTCACTTACATAGGAACTCATAGAAACAGAACATAGATTGGTGGTGGCCAGGGGTGAGAAGGTGGGGGATATGGGTGAAGTTGGTCAAAGGGTGCAAACTCCCATTTATGAGCTGAATATGTTCTGAGGGTTTAATGTACAGCATGGTGACTAAAGCTAATGATACTGTATTATAAACTTGAAAGTTTCTAAAAGAGTAAATCTTAAAGGTTCTCACCAAAAAAAAAAAAAAATGTACTTACATGAGATGATGGGTGTTTTAATTTACCTTATTGTGGTAATCATTCACAATATATACATTTATCAAATAATCACATTGAACACTTTAAACTTATATAATGTTATATGTTAATTATATCTCAATAAATCTGGAAAAAAACAAATTAAGATAGGGATCAAAACTATTTTATTATAATTTATTAAAAATACCAGTTTCTCCCCAGTGAATTGCAGTGGTATATTTGCCATTAGGTGACCTTATATGAATGGTTCTGTGTCTAGATTCAGCATTTTCTTCCATTGCCTTGTCTATCATTGTACCAATACCTGTGCGATTATTTTTAATTGCTCTCCTTTCACAATAGATTGGTTTATTTCTGGGATTTCTATTCTGTTCCATTGATCTCTATGTCTGCTTTTATGCCTGTACCTTGCTATTTTGATTAATGCTATAGATTTATAATGTATTTTGAAATCAGGAAGTGTGATGCCTCCAGCTTTGTTCTTGCTAAGATTGCTTTGGCTGTTTGGGGTCTTATGGTTCCATATGAACTTTAGGATTGTTTTTCTATTTCTGAGGAAAATACAATTGGAATTTTAATAGGTATTGCATTGAATCTGTAGATTGCTTTGGGTAATGCAAACATTTTAACAATATTAATTCTTCTAATCCATGAACACGGATGCTTTTCTGTTTATTTGTGTCTTCTTTAATTTTTTCAACAATATGTACATACAAGTAAGGAAAGCTAATACTAGATAATCTATTTATTATATTCTGTGCTCAGTATTGAATTAAAATGCATCAGGTAAATGCATGCAAAAGAGTAAGCATGAGTGGATTTGGTTTTGCCAATATTCATCTTCTGGGAAGTCACATAGCCTCATTGGATCCCAGGTTTTGTTTTTGTTTGCTGGTTTGTATGTTTGTTTTTTTGTTTGTTTATATCTAGAATGGTAATGTATCTGGCATACATACCTTACTGGATTTTTATGATAATCAGATGAATAAAAGCTAATTTTAAATACACACACACACACACACACACACACACACACACACTTATATACACTTTGTAAATGGCAAAGCCCTATGCCAAAATAACATGCCAATGGCAAAGATAACTTTCCTTTTACTAATTTCTGGACCCAGGTGTCTAGAGACTTTTTCTTAACCTTATTTTGCTGCTGTCTGTCTTATTTGATAACAGAATTAGATCTAGAAAGCCAAGGTGGTGTAAGAAGGTAGATTATATGCACTTTTTCTTCTATCAGATGCTCCTTTTCATGAACAAGAGTACATATTTCCCTGAAATTGAATCTGGGGGTATAGTACACATGTTTTCCCAAATAAAGCTGTGTGGGATGTAATTTCAGACCTCCTGTTTGCCAGCCAGTTCATCTCCATAATTCAGAAACCCCTGGCATGGTTAGTATCATTCATTTGTGCCAATAAAGTCCAGTACATCCTGCCACAGAATTCTTCCTGCTGTCATAAAGGGACTCAGGTACCTTTGAATACCATATGCTGACAATAAGTCTAACCTAATAGCCAAGCTCATGGTCCCCTCATTGCTTTTAAGTCATTCCTCAGCATCACAGGGACCCCTTCAAAACTACCATTTAGCTGTCACACATGTCAGCAGACAAGAGCTAAGGGATGATAAATAACAGCATCACCAAACACAACTTGGGCCAGCATGATCTCTGCCAACTTTCTCTGAAAATGCTGATCTTTTGCTGCATTTAGATGGTGAAGTCCAAGGCAACACAGTCAATGAAACTTCCCTAGCAGACCTTTTCTCTCTTCAACAGCCCCACCTACTTGGCTCATGAGACCAAGGATTCTAGTCTTCTTGAAGACACAGGTTGACAGATTTAGGAAGGAGCAGCTGGTCAGGGCCCTGGCAATTAGCAAAGGGAATCCAGACTCTCCTACAAAACTCTTTATTTGGGGAAGATATTTCACATGGCCTGAAATGGGCCTGTTGCCCTTGCTGGTATCAGCTATTAGATAGTGTTGCTGGTCATGCCCTGAACTTTATCCAAGTGATCTTTTGACCTAAAATATCCTTTCTCCATTGCTTCAAGCTCATAATCTCCCCATCACTTCTCTGACCTTATCTCTTACCAGACAGTTTGCCCCAGCCACATTGGCCTCTTCGTCAGTCTCCAGACCCACCAACTTGCTTTTGCCCCGGGGTCTTCACTATTGTTCTTCAGTTGAAATGCTTTTCTCCTGGGTATGTATAATGAGACTTGCTCTGTTTGTGGCCTGTTGATGTGTCAGAAACACCACCCTCTCCTCCATTTCTCTTTCCCTGTTTTATTTTTCTCCGTAGCAGTCATCACTGCTCACTTGTATATTAATTATTAATTAATTAATTACTAATCATTTATTAATTGCTTTGTTTGTCACTTGTTTGTCACTGTCCCTGTATTTGGAATGTGAGTTCCACTAGAGTAGGGGTTGTGTCTATGTGTGCGCTGCTCCTATAGAAAAGCAATTCAAATATTGTCGAAACTGATGGCAATGCAACCCCTCCCCCAAATCTCAGTTAAAATGTGCCCCTTACTTCATTAAGCCATCTCTCATCCCTAACCTCTAACTTTGGTTCTCTCCTCTCTTCCTCTGCTTCTATAACCCTTTATTAGGACATTGAACATAGGGCATGTGGCTGGCTCAGTTGGTTAAGCTTCTGACTTCGGCTCAGGTCATGATTTCATGGCTCATGAGATTGAGCCTCACCATCAGGCTCTGCCCTGACAGGGTGAAACCTGCTTGGATCTTCTGTCCCCTGTCTCTTTGCCCTTCCCCCCTCCCTCCAAAATAAATAAACATTTAAGACATTGAACACTTTTTTACCTGATCACATACCTAGTTGTTCTACATATAATAGGCATTATAATTTCATCTTCTTGATTAGACTATAAGCTCCTCAAGGATGTGGGCTATTTTATTAAAGTTTGAATCCCCCAAATTACTGTGACTTATGTTAATTAAGTATTTGGGGAATAAATGAGTGGCTTTAACATAGTAAATTCCTTCCTTCCTTCCTTCCTTCATTCACTCATTTGTTTAACAACAGACTACCAGTCTCATCTCTGGGTGCTGGGGAACAGCAATGAAAAAAACAAAGAAAAAACAACATTGGTAAGTCATATATTGAGTTACCTATGTGTTACTGAATATTTTACATAAGTTATTGTTACCTGCATTTAATCTTTATGATAGTTCTATATGATGGATGTTATTATTCCTATTTAAAGTTTGAGGAAACTGAATATACTAAGCTGTTGAAGGGTATTTTTCTGGATTCAGTTGCCATCTCTCCAATCCCAATGTACACATTCTAAGCAACATGCCATGTATTCAGGCTTTGTGCAGAATTCTGATGTCTGAGGACAGTGGTCACTCTGGGGCATTTGATGACTATGGTTGGACGACATTGACACAAGCCTGTTGTTGGCAGAGGATGTTTGCTGATTTGGAATAGTTTCTTCAACATACCCCTTCCCAGAGCCCCTGTGAGGAAGCACAGCCCTGCTGCTGGGAGGCAGGTGTGCTTTCTGGAGGACACTCCCCATGTTTCAAATCACATCTCTTCTGCTTCTGTTTCCAGCCCCTCTCTAGGCTTCTGTGAGCTTCTGCCTTCAATGGCTTGTGCCTGTGGCTCCTCTTTGGAAGCCACTTTTAAGCCACTGGAGCCACTTGTGCTTAAAGTACAAAAAGTGGGAAGTGCCTGAGTTTGTCTCCTCTCCACTCTTGTTTCCAGGGGTGGTCAGGACGAGTGTAAGTTCTGGAAACCTGCCTGAAATTGTACCCTTGCTTGACCTTTTTGGATTTCCCCAGTCTCCTACTGGGTTTTCCTCAAATTTACATAACAAAATCACTTGCTCATAAATCCTCATCTCAGAGTCTGGCTTGAGGAAGCCAACTGAAAATAGTCTCCTAGTTGAAAGCATCTAGAAAATGTTTTCCCTAGGAAAGGAAGAGTATTTGCCACCTGGACTCAGTTCTGCCCTTTTGGAGAAAGCTGCTTGCTGCTGGGTCAGGACTGGTCCTTGACAGTGTCCCTTGGCTGCCTCTTAGATCGGGGTCCTAATCTAACCCAGATTGGCAGGAAAAATAAGTTGGGCTTATTTATTTAGATGTTGTGTATGGTTGCCCCAAACACACACACACACACACACACACACACACACACACACACACAAATATATACATATATGTAGTCCAATGAAATAAGTGTTGAAAAAACTTATTTTTAAGCCCATTCATTCCATGTAGCATTTATTGAGGCTTCATTATTTTCCAGCATTATACAAAAATAATATATATTTTTTACCCTTGAGGAACTCATAATATGTAAGGCAGGACAGACATGGTTAATAAAAACACAGTGCAGCTGGGTAAGTGCCACAGAAAGGTTGGTATAAAGTGCCAGAGGCCAGAAGAGGGAGCTATAACTTCTGGTAGGGAAAAAAAAAGGTAGAAAGATTTCACTGAGAAGATAACATTCGAGCTCCTTTTGGAAGAAGGGAGAGAAATTACCAGAAGGAGAGAGAGTGTTGCCTAGGACAAGAGAACACTGGAAGTATAAGAAGCACAGTTTATTAACGGATTAATTTGTAGTGTTTATTGTTGTTGTTGTTCCCCACTCCCACAACACTTCCTTTCCACTTCTTTTTTTTTTTTTTTAATGTTTATTCATTTATTTAGAGAGAGAGCATGAACACACACATGCTTGAGCTGGGGAGGAGCAGAGAGAGAGGCAGACATGCAGGGCTTTGAACCCATGAACCATGAGATCATGGCCCGAGCTGAGATCAAGAGTCAGACACTTAACCAACTGAGCCATCCAGGTGCCACTCCTTTTCATTTCTAAGATGAAGGCCAAACAGACAAATGAATAAATAAATCAGGGGAGCTCCGTGTTTGGGGCTTAAAGGTGATATCTGGAAGCAACCTCCTTCCAGTGGATGCCGAGGGGACAGCGGGATGTGTGAGAAGGGAGGTGCACAGCTGGGGTTTAGGGGGGAGGGGGAGAAGGGGAAGCTGAGGTCTGTAGACCTCCTGGGTTTGGACAGCAGTCATGTCACCCGTGAGTGTGGACAGCACCTCTGAATACTCTGCTCAGTATACTATACAGTTTATACCCTAAAGTATAAAATTGTAAAGAGCCCTAGAGGAGGGGGTGGGTAAGGAGTCAGCACCATATTGACTAAGACTGAATTTCCCTTCAACCGGGTTAAAATGGGTGCAACATTAGATCTAATCAGTTCAGAGAGAACAAAGAAATGAGATATTTCTTGCATATAAGTTTTCAGAGTGAAATTCAATACTTATTTCTGGCTTGATACACATGGGGAAATTTGAGTGGTTTGCATGGCTCACATATAGGATGAAAGGGGAGTTAGGGAGGTTGGATGGGAGGCAGGTTATAAAGCTTTTGTGTGTTGTGATTGTTTTATGCACTGATAAGAAACGTTACATATCTTTAAATAGAAAATCTTAACAGGCTCACGACAATGCTTGGGAGGGAGTCAAGATTGGGTGGAAGGCCTCTGCACAGTGGCCACAGTGACAGGCAGATGTGATGTAGAAAGGCAGAAGATCTGTCCTTGCCTCGAGGGCTTCCTACTTTTTCCAGGGAAATGAGACTTACTCTAAGGAAAAGTGTGTAACTGTGCTCTAGGGAAGAGTGGCCATCAGAGGCTACTTTCAGATCCTGATTTATTTTCTATCCTTTTGTTGCGCTATTAGAATTAGCCACGGTAGTAGAATCAACCCTACTTTGGTGGCTTCATTAGACTTAGCTGTTTGTTGAAAGCTTGGGTAAAGTCATATTTCCCAGTCCTTGGATGTAAGGGCTGAGCCATGACCTATGGGCCCCTTCATGACTTGCCATATCCTTGTTCTATCTGAGTCTCCCTCTGCCAACCTGACCAAGACTCAACTATTGAATAAATGGTAGACAAACACATGGCTCCCATTCTGTACCACTGTCTACCTTCTGGGTCAATTCACTCCTATAGACTGGGTCTTTATCCCTTTACACCCATAGAGTACCCTTTTTCCTGGAGCAGACGTCTACTTTTATTCTAGAACTTGGGTTCCCATTATACAATCCCAAACAGTTGGTTGGTATTCTAATACCCAACTTAACTTCCCCCTGACTGCTAAGTTCTATATTCCATGTTCTTACCATGTTTCCTGGTGAATGGACACATATGAGAAAATCATTCATTCATTCTGATCCATGAATCAGGAGTGCTTGGCTCTTAAATTTGTGTTGCTGCCTTGATCTTTGGAGCATTGACTTGATGTGATGTTCCAGCTCTGACTGTTTTTAGGATTTGGAGATGATAATATCATCATACTCACTTTAAATTCTTCATCTCCCCAAAGCCTCCTTTACAACTGAATAGACTTCTTGGACCCTGATTATCTAGAGTATTGTTTGTTGCCCCTCCACACAAGTTGAGAACATGGAAAGAATCCATGTTGGAGCTAATGAGGTATAGGATTAGAGCTGTGGAAGAGGAACCACAAGAAAAAGAGATGCAGAGAAGAGATATTCCAGACATCACCATACATTTAAGTTTCCCCCCAAAATTCAGATTTTTGTTTTTATTTGATCTGAACACATATAAACAAAAGCACTCCAGTCTTCCCAGGATAAAGAGGTTATGAAGGCTTTCAAGAAGCTGTGGCAGGAGCCAACCCTGCTGTGGGACCATCACATTGCATGGTGACAGAATGAAAAGTGGTACTTGTGGGCAGGGTGCTGAGCAAGAGAATGATTGAGAACATCTCTGTGGTGATGTTTTGCCATTTTAAAAGGATTTGATCCTGGTTCTTAAGAGCAGTGTTTTGTTTTTTTTTTAACCTCTTAAAAATTCAGCATTGAAACCCTTCTGTCAAGGGAAACTTATGTAGAAAATTAATATGGAAAGCATCCAAGACAGAGCTGCTCAGGTTGAAGCAATTGTGGAGTGCCTGAGCCCTGGCCACCATCTTTCCTCTCCAACCCTCTCACTATGGCAGCACCCAAGGCTGGCAAAGCTCTCAGTGTCATGTCCACAGAGCAGAGACCACAAACGGATGTCCCTAGAGCTGGATCTGGCACATGGATGTCCGGCTTGGATCTCACAATGTTTTACAAAAACTTGAGTCATTATTTAAAAACATTTTTTGAATGTTTCTTATTTATTTTTGAGAAGGGTGGGGGACTGGCAGAGAGAAAGGGAGACACAAAATCCAAAGCAGGCTCCAGGCT